TCTGCAATATAATATAGAGTGAAAAATTTAAGGGTGTCTGAATACTTTCCGTACCCACTGTATATATATATATATAAATTTAATTTTAATTACTAAAAACTTGTAGTTAAAAAAAAATGTGACATGGAGAAGAAAATTAAATAATTTTGCCTATTGCATTTTCTAAATTTTAACAAAACTTTTAGTGTTTGCTGCATTTTCCAAGCTTAACCATTCAGCTTTACTCAAGTTCTGGCAAGACAATATGAATATAATAAATATTTTCTTTAATTAATGGGAAATGTTTAGTTATCCAATAACAAAACCAGCACTTGACCTTAAACTATTAGGTTCCTACTAAGTGATATTTTATGACAAATTAATCAAACATATAAATTAATCAAACATTGGAACAGGGTTGCAAAAATTAAAATAAAGTAAAATATTCCATTGGACCTGCTGTGGTTGACAATAAACGGTTTGTGAACTTTCTGTAACCTATTTGTGGAAAATGCCTAAAACGCTGTGATTCATTCATTGTTCTCTCTTGTCCTCTTGTCAGATGCGAGTACTGGGAATGCTCGGCAACTCTGTGACAGGTCTGTCTGCGGCAGAAGCCATGCTTCCTCTCTCTGACAGCGGAGAGGCCATGAGCGACTACGAGCTCCTGTACTGCTTTCGACGTGATTCGAACAAAGTCCAGAACTATCTAAAGATCCTTAAGTGCAGAATTGTACCGGAGCACGACTGTTAGGAAAAAAAAAACATTGGCCTTTCACCTGCACTACTGGACAGCACAAAGGACACATGCTGGTCCACAGTTATCAAGCATGTTTGACTCAGTGCCATCAATTAAGACTTCACCAGATCCCAGTAAATAAACCTGACTTTTTGCATCTTTTTGCTTCATACTCTAGCATTTCAAACCAATTCATTGCTGTAATTATCAAAAACATGCATATAGTAGGAGAGGGGGAAATGGTTTCGCCTTTAAAGTCAACTCATTCTTTAAAATATTTTATATGTAACAAGTGCTTACTATTTATAATTCCACATAAGTTAAATTCCTCTGAAACATATTTTCATTTTATGTTTTCAAATTTTATCAGTGGCAAAGCAAATGTTCACTGAATGAACTGAGCTGACAACACAAAATGACAATAAAACTGTAGATTCTTCAGCACAGATGCGATGTTTGCTGTATTTATTAAAGAATTTGAATGAATATATATATATATATATATATATATGTATGTGTGTGTGTGCGTGTATATATATATATATATTTAATACAAATATATTCTGATTTCATTATCTCTTATTTTTCTGATTTCATTATATCTTTATGTGATTTCATTATCGCTGTTTTGCACATTAAAAAAAAACAATAATGTGCTGAGCAAACATTTCACTCATGACTAATTTGGGCTGGGCAAAACTACACGTGTTTTGAGATTAATAATTATTTTCCTAAATGAAATCTGGATGGGAGTTGTGTGTGTCTCTATCTTGCCCTCTGCATGTAATGACAGGTTAATCTTCATACAGTAGGACAGAAAGGCCTTCAATTACGCTGGAGTTCAGTCTCAGCCTGGGGCCAATGCTTCCGCCTGAACTTTACCATTTTACAAGACCATGTGTCACAGAATCAGGGGCGTTGTCACAGAATCAGGTGCGTTGTCATGCTCAAGGAGGAAAAAGCTTTAAAACAGCAGAATAGTTCTGCCTTGAAAAACGGCATTATTTGTAAAACACAGTAAAGACTACAAAAACCCCAAACTGGACTTTTGTGGCTTTTAGTCCATGTCTTTTAGTTTTAAGCTTCATATATGCATGAAACTTTCAGCAGATTTTAGATTTTCTCTTCTGGTATCATTTTGTCATATAAAATGTTTTTTAATGCCATCTGCAGCTAGTAGCACATCATGGTTTGTGGCTGTGACGTAACTTGAGCCTATTGGCCAACTATAAAAAACAGCTTTTTTATGTGCCCCACCCACATTTCAACAGGAAATACGTCACACACAGGAAAGAAAAACTGCATTTGACAAGTAATTTCACTTTAAAGTGGAATTTAAAGTGAGATGCAAGATTGCTGATGTATGTGAATGATGTAAGAGTGATGTAAGAAATCACTCTGTGATGTAAGCACATCTGGATATTGGTGTGTGAGTGTGTTTGGTGCTGAGGTAGGCCTGTGCGTGTGTATTGCGCAATGTTCTAGATGACAAACTGCTCAGGTCTTGCCTGTCTCTCAGTGACTCAGGGGTCTGTGGGTCCGAGGGCAAAACACAGCTTCCTTTTAAGGGTGAGGACACTTCCTACAGTAACACTACAATACTGATTCTGTTATATTTTTTAGCATAATTTGAAAATAATGGTTTACTTAGTTATTCTCATAAAACTTTCAATTAAAATATCAAAATATATATATATATATGTGTGTGTGTGTGTGTGTGTATATTTTATATTCATATAAAGAATTGTTTTAATGAATTATTACTTTTATTTAGCGGCAATGCATTCAATTGATCAAAAGTGACAGTAAAACATTTATAATGTCTTTGTATTTCTATTTCTATCTATCTATCTATAAAATATACAACAGTTAATTGTGAAAATATTTCACAATATAACTTGCTGTATTTTTATCAGATAAAGCAAAATGTATAATAATAATAATAATAATAATAATAAATATATAATGTATGTATTATTCTACAAGCTAATATTTCAAACATTCTTGGCTATTTTTCAGAATTAGACACAGTCATTCAAGTACAGTATGTAGGTATTGTAGGAAATCTGATAATCATTACCATAGATTGCATTCCTACTTATAGTATTGTCAGAGATAATATATGGTTATACTGTATATATGCAATTATGTAATTTACACTAATATGCAACTGAATACTTCGGCTTTCATGTCACGTCAAATAAAATGACGCAACTCCAGATTGCTGGACTGTGTGCCTAGCGTGTATGACACAAACAAACCAATAATCTAGGATGACGAAAATGAAAATATAAAGCAAAATCAAGAATGTCAGAGTAATGTATAGTACAACCTATATCACGCCACAGGCAAGACAGTAAGCGACAGTCACAGTACATTCAGAAACCATGATTATTCATTTCCTGCACGCAAGAATTGAATCATGCAGATATGTCTGATGTCATATGAGCTAATGACCCCAAAGACTTCTAACCAAGGACCTTTCACTAAACTTTTTAGGGTAGAAAAGATCTTGCATACTCGTCTTTTTGCTGTTGGCTATCTGACTGTCAATCCCAGAATGCTCAGCTCTCGGATTGACTGCTCAGCTCTCAGTGGGTAACATCAGCTGCACATCAGCCATCATATCTGATTTTAGGGCCTGTCCATCAAAACATATAGCCCAGAATACCAGAGAACAATGATCCACTTCTGTGGCAGAGTAAAGACTGTGTAAGCATTTACTATATAAAAACAGCCCTAAACTAGAGCTTTTTCAGGTCTGATATTTATCTTTAATGCACTTATTGTTTATTACACTTGGCAGAATTGTTGAAATACACATTTTTTGTTTTTGTTTGTTTGTTTTTTTGCCCCACAGCCCCTTCTAGTGACAAATCAAATTCCTTGAAAATCTATGGCTACTGTACTACTCTAAATATTGCTGAAGCAAATAGTACAGTATGTATATACTATTGCATGCATAGAATATCAAGATGACTTATTTGTTAACATGCAGAACAATCCTTGCGCTAAACTTGCCCTTCCATTTGCAGTTTGACGGATGATGGTCATAATATCGTGCAAAGAAGTCATGTGACAAACATAGTAAGGTCAGATGACAACAAATACTTTTTTGTACAATGTTTTCAGTTACACTTACTTTTTAAATAACAGTGCCGAAAACAGTATATACATACAATACTACATAATAACTCTTTTTTGTAAAATGTCTCACAGAAGTCCAATTAAGATCAAGTTGAACTGTTGCATACTGAACGTTTTGCCAAATGTTAGTATTCAGTATAGGCTACATCAGAAACAGAATGAGTGGTATATCGTTGTTATCAAAAACACAGCCTATTTTAGTGATACTTTAAGTTCTCCATATGGTGGCAGTAGGTCCCAATGATCCCAGTATATGACAGCCGCAGAAATATCGTGCTGTTGCTAGAGGGCGCTGGTGAGCCATATTTTGCTCACTGTGCGTAATGTTTGCTACTGTCCTGAGAGCTACCAAAGTTTAGGATCACAAAGCAAACAAAAACAAGCCAATTGGATTTCAAGGAAATAAAGACCAGAGATTCTTCATTAGAAAAGCCATTACTGCACCTGCCCAATGCAGTACACAACATATCTACACAAAGAGCTTGCTAACATTGAAATAAATATAGCAGCCTACAATGTGCTTAAAGTTCATTCATGTATTTTTATTCGTTTGTTTGTTTGGGCTATTTATTTATGCTATATTTTTTATTTGTGTATTTATGCAATGAATCCATTATTTGTTTGTTTGTTTAAAAAAAAATCCATTAGATTATATTATTATTAATAATAATTTGCTTTGACGCTTAGCCTACTCTTTTTGGTTCACTTTCGTTTTTTTTTCACTTCACCTTATTTTCCATGTTGTCTATTTTTGTACTTTAGCACTTAAATACTTAAAATACCTAAATACTTTCATGTCAATATCAAGCTTTTAATAGAGATAAGCAATACTGTTGCGCTACTCAGTTGAATCATATTTTTAATTGCTGTTATATTGTAATCATTTTAACTATACATTGCTGCAAAACACATGCATATTACATGAAAATATGAAATGCTTTAGTCCTAGAAATGTACAGTTATTCGTCATGCCAATCAAGCACATTAAATTGAAGAATAATTGAGAGTGTGTGATGAAGGGAAGGCACTGACCAAACCTAATAAAATACAATTATGTGTTCTCCATTACGCCATTATTCCACTAGGGGAGAGAGAGAGAGGGGCAACGTTTCGACCATCAGGTCTTCGTCAGGTCTTCACAAATTACGTGAACTGGTACAACTCTTTATAAGTAACAGGTGATCATTCTAATTAGACACATTCAATCACTGTGCAGGTACACTCCCACAAGGAAAGAGAGAGAGAGCGAGAGAGAGAGAGAGAGAGAGAGAGAGAGAGAGAGAGAGAGAGACCTGCACTTATAACTCCGCCTCCGGCTTCATCCAGGCTGCATTCTTTATTCCTGTAGTCTTTACTCTGGAGAAAAGGGAAGAGAAGGGGAGGAGGAACACGCACCGGTAGTGGGATGGACGGGTAAACATGGAGTCGTGCATATTTGAGCTGCCAGAGGCGAGACGAGCACTTCACCGATGAATGACTGACGGGTCGCTGTTCTCAGACGCCCCCTACAAATCCCAGACCCCATTCATTAGATTAACTAACGACTGAACACCGAGTTCGGGATATTTCTTACTTTCTGAAACGGCTGAGCACCGATTTTAAGATTGATCGAGCATCTGGACACATCGCTGAGGAAACCATGGAGACGGAATCATCCCAGTTAGCGAGTAACGGAGCGAATGAAAGTGAGCCTCTACCGGTGGACTATCCCGGAGGAGAGATGCTAGCCTCTCTTGGTGTACGAAGAGGCTCCAGCGTGAAGAAACATCACCACAAACACAACCTGAAGCACCGCTACGAGCTGCTCGAAACCCTCGGGAGAGGAACATATGGAAAAGTGAAGAAAGCCATAGAGAGGCACACTGGACGAGCGGTGAGTTGACCAACATGCAATGACCCAAAAATTGCTCTTTCAAAGCTCAAGAGATCTTATGAAGTTCTTAGATAGGTA